ANGTTTCAAATTTCATAGACCTTCTATATAGGAAGATCTTGTTGTGGGATATCACTTTTATTCAGGTCACAAGATCAACAAAAGTCAAGATCACAAGATACAAGCCATGAAAGTTTGGTGAAATTCAACAAAATAAATCTGATATCAAAAAAATACAATGAAGTCGAAATTTAAAAACCAGGTAACTACAACCTCTTGGCAATCGATTGTACTTTCCATTGACACGAAAATCAATCAAATTGGGTAATCTGTTAATTATTTAATTTGATTGAAGAAATGAACGCACTGCAATAATATTCTTCAATCTAAAGATGTTAAGCTCTCCAATTAGTTTCATGAAGTCGATTAAATTTGAATTTCACTATATAATGTATTATGACATGTATCGAGGAAGGGCATGTAAACTCTTCAATGAGCGATTTGATGTATCAAAGCTAATATTGTTTATTTGTAATTCTAGTATTTAAAATTATCTTACCTGTGCGTTTACATATTGGATTTTGATATCTCCATTCTTCCTCAACACATTCCAGCCCTTGTACCATCTTAAAATCTTTATTACATGATATGATTACATTTCCATCGCAGTCTTTTTCAAAATTTGCGTCTGTTACATTAGGATAAGTCGAACAATCTGTAAATTTAATTTTGATATTATATGTTGCCATTATTTACTTCTGACTCGATACACTACCCCCGACAATTATATCATCAAGTATTTGTCTCAAAAACTACTTCTTAATTTACTATTTACAGACAAAGATGATTGAAAATGTGTTTAGACCAGTAATCCATGCTGCTGAAAAGAAAGTTGTCTTGAGTAAACTTCTTCTGACTCCGACTCTTTCGACAATAAAAAAGCTAACTTAAATTTCGCCCAGATCTACAAACTTTGACTTTAGATTCATAAAGCAACTTTTAGATAATAAATAAAATATTTACCGGCATCTACAAGAATCAGTATAACGGAAATCAACAGAACGGAACATGATAGGTTATTCATGGTTTTAACGTTAGCAAGACCTGTTGATATTATATATAGAGACTTGTTGATACACTGTTGAATGCTAGATTTTGTCACGTATTTATAGTAAATGCAAAGACTCCCACTGAACAGATGTTTCTTTGAAGACTGTAAATTAATATTTTAAACCTGCAGATCAATGATAGATAAAAAATTTTTATTTAACAGAACTTTTTAACGAAAGGTTGCCATTAATATTTCAACAAAATATTCTACATGGCAAATATAAAACAATAATATTACTAGAACTGTGAACAGCTTAACCCTTGGCTTTTGAACCTTACGATACTCCTAGCTTGTTAACTTTCAACTCTGGTGCTTTTAAGCATGCAATTTGTGAAGAAAAATTTGAAACTCTGGGGTATCTGATGAATAAATCAAGTATAGAATTAGAATATAACTTAAATTCAGAAATGTCATCTCAAAATTCTTAATTTGTAAAGGATAATAGAGAGAAAAGTTACGTATAAGGGCTTTAAAATCGTCAGCAACACCAGCGGGCACACAAGGGAAATTTTTCAGTGACTATAAAATTCGTCGCAATCTGTCTAGACCCCAATATTGTCTTAGTTGAGTCTAACGTCTATTTTATTGGCATCTTTAAGTGGCCTTGTTAAGTTGTATTGGACTTAAAAATCTCCAAAATGATACTAATGTTTCGCTCACTATGATTTACTGTCCACGCTTCCAGAGTTGCAGAAATGAAATCAATGGTTACTTACATCTCTGGCGACCATAATGGCATATAATAACCCAAAGGAAATTTACCCCTATTTTGTGTTTTATTTGCGTTCAAAGTTGATACCAATAACGATAACGGCAAAGGGTATCATGTTACAACTGGCTACTGCTAGGAAATTTGACGACAACTAGGTCCATCAGTAAATACAGTATGACAATATGGCCGATGGCCCTACCGATTGCGACAGTTCTGCCGAAGAAAGTACCAGTGATCCATAAATTGGCATTTGACCGTATACGTTTGAACCAAAGTGGCCGAATTGCGAAATTGATTCCGTTATTGTAGCCCTTTCCACTATGCAATAAAAAAGACCAGATCGATAGGAGATAATTATGCGACGAAGGAATTTGATTCATATTTCTTTCCTATACTAAGACTAAGAAAGCTAGTGCCAGTACCTGTTTACAAAAGCACGTGTAGACTTACGTACACACGTTCCAGATAATATTTGGCAAAACTGTAAATAACCACTATAAACCATAAAATATCCTTATCTTTGTTAGGCCTGCAAATTCATCCAATTTTTTATTTTCAAATGAAGGTGTCAGTGTGGGCTTTGTGAAGATTATATTATGTGTTTAATCTAATAGTGGATTTGGTTACAACAACGCCGAAAGACAGCTTTAACAGTTTAGATTCAGAAGTATTTGTGCGTGAAGTAATGGCTGCCTCAAATCACCAATCTGTGACGACAGTTGATATCCATCAGGTTTCGAATGAAAACTGCACCCAACCGTCACGAAATAGACTCCATAGTGCAAAGAGAAGTGATGACAACGAAAGTATGGTATACGACGATAGAAAGCGAGAAACAACAATTAGGAAGGTATTGCCCAGTCTCAAATGGATCAGCTCATTCAAATGATGTCCAGATTAAGCTCAAAACTTACTGATCAAATAGAAAAGATGGAGAAGAAATTTGAAACTCATGTTGCAGATGTTATTGACACGTTTGAAAGAAGAAATGGATAATTTAGAAAGAACAGTAACAGCAGGGGTCGGTGAAAAACTTTCAAAAGGTTTAGAAAAGGAAATTATGGAAGTACGGACAGAATTTAATGACAAGTTAGCTGCTATTGAGAATAACTTAGCAACGCACCAAGAAGTGACTAGTCGTCACTGAATAACCCCGACCGACTCTTAACTGTGGTTATTAACTTTTTTCAAAAGGACCAAGTATACAGCCAAGAACCACAGCCCCTTCATCCAGATCAGCATTAATTCGCCTGTCAGTTGTATGGCGCTGTATTTGGTTCAAAATAGGATCCAGATCTGATTGTATAAATTCTTAAAATCGCGTGGTCATTTCTTAAGTAGAAATGTCTAATCTTATTAAATTAAATTATTTTTACGTGTTTTATCTCCTATCTTATTAACCTTTTTCAATTTGAGTTTTCTAAAACCTAATTTTAACCGTAGACTTTGTAGAACGCAGAACGCGAATTTAACCTTTGGAACTTCACTACTGGATCGTAATCTTTCGAATTTCTTCACTGGATTGTGTTCGCTGAATCGTGATCTTTAGAACCTCTCCACTGGATCGTATTCGCTGAGTCGTAATCTTTCTTCATTGGATCGTGTTAGCTGAATCGTAACCTTGAATATTACGGAAATTAAATTAGATCACGCGTTCTGCGTTCTACAAAGTCTACGGTTAAAATTAGGTTCTAGAAGACTCAAATTGAAAAACGTAAATAAGATAGGAGATAAAACAAGTAAAAATACTTTAATTTTATAAGATCAGTCATTTCTACCTAAGAAATGGGTGTTTGAAGTACGGAATGTGGAATTGTCGCGGCTTCTCAAAATTACAGCCAAAAATTTTTAGTTTTCGAGAAAAGGTGATATAATTTTCCAAATGTGATATTTTAGGACTATGTGAAACTTTTTTAATCAAGGACCAAGTGATCAGTGTTAATGGGTATAAGTGGTTTGATTGAATTTTTGTTGTGCACATTTGCATGAACAACTTTTTTATTTCTTATCTGAACTTAATCAAACTTGGTATGTATGTGTATAATCCAATTATAAATTTGATAAAAATGTTGAAATTTTGTCGTGCGCATTACAAAATTTCTTGTTTCGTAGCCATTTAACAGGGCTTATTATCTCTATCTGTATACCAGCTGATACCTGTCCAAATAGCTGTCTTTATACCAGCTGATATATGTCCAAACAGCTGTCTCTTTACCAGCTGACATCTGTGCAAATAGCTAGCAGAGGCTGGAATAGAGACAGATGTTTCAGTCTGGGTGGAAATGGCATCTGTTTACTTCATTGGGACGTTTGTGAAAGGAGATCTTATAGAAGGCATTAATAACACTGTTATGTATTCCCAGCAAGCAGTCAACAAGTCCTTATGGTAGTTGAGCCACTGAAGACTGTAGATATAATGTAGATATGGAATACGTTAATAAGCATCTGCTTAACGTTTTGTTTTCCGGGATTCCCAATCAGTAGCAAATGGGAAAGAAAATAAGACCCAATGAAAGGTAGCTCGAGCTAGTAGCCCTAATGGGAATTAACCCCAATGAGAATGAACCCAAATGGATAGACAATATTATTGATACACGGTTATAAACTTGAATTGCCAATACTTGGTATTGTAATATACAACAATTTATTTATTTTCTGGCGTTAATAATTCAAGGCTCTTTCCACTTTATCAAAATTTAATCTCTTGTTCACAAATTGTGTGTTGTTCTCATGTTGGCATTTCTTCACAAAGCCCACACTGACATTTGAAAAAAAAAATAATTAGATGAAATTGTAGGCCTACTGTGTTATTCCCTGTATTTTTTCTATTGTTACTTTTATATTAGGCATACACTTAAAAAGTGTTTTATTCTACAGGTAAACAAAGGTATTTTAAGTTTATAGTTGTTATTTACAGTTTTGCCAAATATTATTTGGTACGTCTGTACGTAAGTCTGCACGTGATTTTGTAAACAGATACTGGCACGAGCTTTCTTAGTTTTAGTAGGAGAAATATGAATCAAATTCCTTCGTCGCATCAGTTTCGCCCTAAAAATTAATATTTATTATCGCTCTGGTCTTATTTCATAGTGCTACAATAACGGGTTCAACTTCGGAATTCGGCCAATAAGGTCAAATTCCAATTTATATATCACTGGTACTTTCTTCGACAGAACTGTCGCAATCGGCAAGACTGCTGTTGAAATCATCGGTCATATTGTCTTGTATTTACTGATGGCCCTAGTTGACGTCATATTTCCTGGCAGTACCCAGTTGTAACTGCTGTTGAAATCATCGGTCATATTGTCTTGTATTTACTGATGGCCCTAGTTGACGTCATATTTCCTGGCAGTACCCAGTTGTAACTTTAACAACCGTATTTATAAAAGAAGTCTAATAAGCTTCCCACCATTGAGTGTTTATTCTACATAAATAAGATCACATGACATGACGTCAGATAAAAAGTGACGTAATACAACATATATCAATATGTAAATGATAACCACGGACTTGTGTGGATATTAGATATCTCCATTTCTTTAAAAGAAATTAACTATAAAGTTCAAATTACTTATTTGAATAAATCATAATATTTAAAGTTTAAACTGTCTTTCTGATTCACAATTCATTTAAATATTCAGGCTTACTTCATAATCGCTGTGGACGTTGATATATAGGGTGTTCTCTGGGTGGTAGTTGTCCAGGTTGTTGATCATCAGGCTCTTGTATATCTGGATGTTCAAGATTTTGTTGTGGTTGTGGATTTTGTCCACCAGGAGTCTTGTTGTTTGGATACGTTTCAGCTTCACTTATAAATCTTCTCTCCATTGATCCGGGTCTATAGCATCAAGTTCCATGTTTTGTACAACATTATTTACTAATTTAAAATGACTAGCATCTCGATATACTTCTCTTCCATCAGTTACTCTCCTCGCAGCAATAGATGAACCATCAATTCTGTATACCATATAAAATGCCGGTTCATAAGCGGTTGACCAATTGGTTACGTTTCTTTTGTCGTAGAAGTAAATAATCTCCAATTGTAAAGTTGTGTGTTCTTGTGTTTCTATTTTCAGCATTTCGTTTTATTTTTGCCTTGTATTTTTCATCATGTTCGTTGATATCCTTGTCTGGTGGTTTGGATTCATTTGCATGAAACCCTTCAGTATGATCTAATTTGGTTCTGACTTTTCTATTCATTAGAGCTTCATAAGGTTGCTGGATGTGGTGTTGAACTATAACCTATCAGCATCTCTTGTATAGCACTTGAATTATCTTTTCCTTTCAAGTGTGCTATCTGTTCTGTTTTATTCAGCATCTCAATGAAACTTTCAACTTCTCCATTTGCTCTAGGATGGATTGGTGTAACTTGATGATGTTTAAAACCTTCTTCTCTACTAAAATTTTCTAAATCTTTCGAGTTTAATGGTGGACCATTATCACTCTGAATTATACTTGGTGTTCCATGAGTTGCAAACATTTTCTTCAGTCTGAGTTTTGTTGGTTTAAATGATGTTGAGTTGATTTTCTCCACTGGATATCTGGTTATTTTGTCAATAGCTATTAAATTGTAATGACCATCAGGATATGGGCCTCCAAAATCTATTGCAAAGTGATCCCACGGTTTCTCAGGAATTGTAGACATCTTGATTGGTTCTTGTTGATGTAGATTCGTTGTAACTTGACATTCATAACAGTGACGAATAATTTCTTCTACCAGTCTGTTCATGGTCGAAACCAATACTTCTCTCGTAGCATTTGTTTGTTTTGGTTATTCCAAAATGTCCAAGTTTATGAGCGGCTTCAATGATCTTTCTCTGAAAATTTCCAGGAATTATGATTCTGTTGTGTCGAAATACCATCTCATCATAAACATATAATTCGCCTTTGATCATATAGTAATTTGAAATATCTGGATCTTTTCTGTGTCTCTCCCAATCACCAATTCTTATAATTTTGGTTAATTTCTGAAGATGATCATCGTTCTTGGTTTCAATTTTGATTCTATCCAATAAAACTGCATATTCATCTGATATAACTTGACCAATAATCTTCTCTGTTGAATAACTTCCTGTAGTTGGTAAAGGATGCCTTCAAAGAAAATCTAATGGATCTTGTTCATCATTACCTGGCTGGTATATTAATTCAAAATCCAGATCGTGCAAATCCATTACCCATTTTTTGCACTGCGTTGTTTTGCAAATGAATATTTGCAGTGCATTCTTCGAAACTGTTACGCACTGCATCAGAACCTCGCGAAGCCTGTGGATCTAGTTTTTTTTTTGCAGTGCGTTCTTCGAACACTGCTTTGTTTTGCAAATGAATATTTTTCTTTTTTTCGAATTTTACCTTCGCTTGTTTCCTAAGAAGGAAACATGCCACAGACTGTCTGTTACTGTTTGCTAGTCAAAATAGTGGTCCATTATTTGTTAAATGTAAATTGGCACCATTTTGACCAGCCAGAAATGAGCGGTGGCCAATGGCTCTTTTTCGATTTTTTCCATTTAACAGCTTTAATACTGATCTGATATTGCTCAAACTTTACTTTTTATTACTTCGCGCTAATGACTACAAGATAGCAATTGAAAAAATCGACAATTTTGACTTTGGTCGCTGACTTTTTTAGCTCCAATTTTAGTTTTAACCTTTTTTAACTTCTACAATTCTATTTTGATCAATCTTAAAACTTACATAGAGATAGAGACTTTTATTGCGAACAAAAACTATTTTTCGAAATTTCGATATATCTTCCGGTTTTGACGCTATTCACTTCTAAAATATAAAATTCAACTTCCGGAATTTTGAAGATATTTCAAAAATTCTTTTTTGCAATATGTTACAAATGGCCATACAAAAAACTTCGAATCAAAAAATCCGACCCGGATGTAACAGAGTGGTCGCCATATTGATATGTCATACTTCTGTAAAATTCAAAATTGGGCCTCAGGGTATATAGCCCTTTTCATAATTTTGGTATATCTGGATATCACAATCGATTGCGAAAAGAAATTTGGAAGCCGATTTTTGAATTTCGATTTTGCTTTTCTTTTATTTCCGGTTAAAATTTTTCGGTAATGTCCAAAATTTCAAAAGCTCCTATTTCGTGACCTTGACCTTTGGTTACCTTGTGGCCTGATCAAAATTTGT